TTTATTTTTGGATTCTCCAGAGGTAAGTGGATACCTATCATGGGAGTCTCTCCAAACCAATAGCGTGTGTGTGTGTGTGTGTGTGCATGTGTTTGTGTGCATGTGTGCGTGCGTGCATGCATGCGTGCGTGTGTGTGTGTGTGTGTGTGTGTGCTCCTCCTGGACCTACTCCAATCTGTCTGGTCGGGTGGTCGCGTGCCCCAGGACTGGCGTGATGCACTGCTGGTACCGATTCCAAAGAAGTGCGACCTCTCTCGCTGCGATAATTGGCGAGGGATTGCATTGCTGGAGGTTGTCGGCAAGTTGGCTGCTCGGATCATGCAAAACCGATTGCAAGGTATTGCTGAGGCGGAGCTGCCTGAATCCCAATGCGGGTTTCGGCGGCACCGTGGTTGTGCGGACGGCATCTTCTCTGTCCGTCAACTTGTCGAGAAGTCGTACGAACATCTATCGAAGCTCTTCTGCGTATTTGTGGATCTCCGCAAAGCGTACGACTCTGTCCCTCCCAAGGCTCTTTGGCAGGCATTGCTGCGGCTGGGTGTGCCACCCTCGACTGTGGCCATCATCAAATCATTCCATGCAGACATGTCAGCTTGCGTTCGCGTTGTCGGTGGTTGCACGGATCCGTTATCTGTCAAGAATGGACTGCGCCAAGGGTGCGTGATGGCACCTCGGCTTAGTTATTGAGCATTGGCGATCCCTTCTCGTGGAGCGTGGAATAGAGTCTGGTGTGGACTTCAGCTTCACAATTGATGGCCAGCTGTTCCCTCGTGTCAATAAGCGTCGTCCCCACTCCGAGTCCGGCCATGCTGATGACTTCGAGTTTGCGGATGATGCCGTACTGCTTGCTACAACTCGCAACGCAGCCGATCAATCCCTGTCTGCCTTTTGTGAGGTCGCATCCAGCTTGGGTCTCACAGTGAGCATGACCAAGACCAAGCTTCTCGTCGCAGGTTTCGGAGCTTGCCCTGCTGATTGCTCTGATTTGGTCATTGGCAGTGATAGGGTTGAAGCAGTCACCTAATTCCCCTATCTTGGTTCCACCATCACTCCGGACTCGCGGTCGCAAGCGGACATTCGGAGCCATCTAGCAAAGGGTGCAGGGGCCTTTAGTGGTCTTCGGCGCATCCTACATGACCGGAGCCTGAACCTCCCTACCAGGCGCCACCTGTATGTCGTTTTCGTCCTGTGAACGGTTCTGTATGGTTCAGAATGCTGGACGCCATTGAAGGCAGATTTAGATAGAATGGACCGGTTTCACCATGCCAACATTCGCTCCATCCTTGGCGTACCACGCGGCCGACAACAGGAACAGCGCATCTCCTCACAGGAACTGCGAGCACAGTGGGGCGATCCCACACCATTGTCACGCATGGTGCAGCAGAGACGATTGGAGTGGCTTGGACACCTGGCTCGTCTTGATGACACCAGAGTACCGAAGCAGTTGCTGTTTGCCTGTCTCCCTCAGTCTCGGCCATTCTGTGGACCTCGTCGTTGCTTGAAGGACACCATCCACACGGACCTATCCGTGGCTGGAATGTGTAACTGGTTTGAGTTGGCAAGCGATCGTGGAGAGTGGCGTGGAGTTGTGAGAGCAGCAGGTGAGGACAAGGAACCTGCCCCGAAGAGCATTGAGTGCCCAACCTGCAACCGTCTGTTCCGCCGTAGTTCCGACATGGCCCGGCACAAGTGTTGAGCAATCCGTCAGCTCCCGGTATCGGAGCAGCCTGGGTCAGTACAGTTTCAAACATGCAACCGATGGCTAAGTAGCAGAGGAGGCTTTGCGGTGCATAAGTGTCGGCTGGGCGATGACGACCAGCCGCCGGCCTCTGCTCCTCTTGTTGTTCCGGGTGTAACTTGCACAACCTGTCAGCGTCCATTAAAATCGGCTGCGGGTCTCAAGCGTCACCGTTGTGGAACCCGTACAAAGCGCCCTACTATGGCTGAACGCCAGCAATTCAAGTTTTACTGCCAAGTTTGCCACAACCGACGGTTCCGGAGGCGGCAAAATGTGGATCGCCACTGCATTACCTTCCTCCCCCCCCCCCTAAACTCTCTGACAGTACCTCCCATCTGGGAGCTGTGTGGCCAATTCTAGCAGCTGTCAATAGTAGTAGTAGTAGTAGTGTGTGTGTGTGTGTGTGTGTGTGTGTGTGTGTGTGTGTGTGTGTGTGTGTGTGTGTGTGTGCGTGTGCGTGGGCATACGTATATAATATGTATGTACTCAATCTTATTTCAAATAGTGAACGGTACTATTTGGCCAATAAAATGTAAAGAACTCTTCCTCTCCTCTCCTCCATGCGCTCTCACAGCCGACTCAGTAGCCATTACACACACCAACCAAGGAAGGGTTGCAGGTAGATACTGAAATTCCTTCTGACAGCTGTTTCGCCTTCATAAGGCTCATCAGAGAAGGATATTAGGTGGAGATGGTCAGATTTACACTACAAAACATGGGCGCAAGATTACGGGCAAAGTGTGAGAATGAGAAGTTACAATTCTCCAGCAACACAGTGCCAGGGGTTCCAAGAAAATGGCAGGTGAGTAATCCAATCACAAGCTGCTCACCTCTCCAGCAACACAGTGCCAGGGGTTCCAAGAAGGGTTCCAGCTTGTGATTGGATTACTCACCTGCCATTTTCTTGGAACCCCTGGCACTGTGTTGCTGGAGAATTGTAACTTCTCATTCTCACACTTTGCCCGTAATCTTGCGCCCATGTTTTGTAGTATAAATCTGACCATCTCCACCTAATATCATCCTATTCAATATCACCTTCTCTGATGAGCCTTATGAAGGCGAAACAGCTGTCAGGAGGAATTTCAGTATCTACCTGCAACCCTTCCTTGGTTGGTGTGTGTAATGGCTACTGAGGGTAGCATTGAGTCGGCTGTGAGAGCGCATGGAGGAGAGGAGAGGAAGAGTTCTGTACTCAATCTGTATGTACAGTTGCACTCACTGAAATCCGACCCAAAGTGAAAAGCTGGCACCCTCGACCAGTTCCGTTTATATCATTGTATGTCTACATGTGTACGTCCAGCCGCATTCGTTCCACTTCCAGGGCGTCAAGGGCCGTGGAAGTTGAGGGCGCCAGGTTTGTACGTTGGGTCGGATTTCAGTGAGCGCAACTGTATGTTCAAATTTTCGTCGGCTACAGGATATTGCCAGGCACAAGTGTAACGCTGTTCGCGCGGCCCGCGCGCGCTGAGTATGGCGTTCTCCGCCCGGTGGACAATACGTCTCCTGGTTTGCCCCGTATGGGGCCACATAGCCAGTCATGGCAGTGGAAGAAGGAAGGAAGGAAGGATGTTTAAATTCAGCCCTACTGGGTGACAGAATCGATACAGTCCCCAAAAGAGTAGCGCAGCATAACAGGGGAAGCACGTTTGTACAAATTGTGAGAAATACGCTAAAAGCAAACAATTACAGCTGAAAGATGGCTCAAAAGAGAAGAAAAAGACCCAAGCGTTCCCAAGCGGGATTCGTACCAGCGACCTATCGTACACGAGGGGAGTATCATGGTCCAACTTAGGGGCCGTTTACATGAGGAAAATAAGCCCGGGCTTATTCGCATCGGGCTTATTTTTCAACCGTTTACATGACGGTTGTACGGGGCTGAGTTCAGGTGAGTGACTGCGAGTTCTGCGCTCATTTTATTTTTCAAATCGCACATGAACGCGGTGGTAAATGTTCGTGTCTGATGAAATTTGGATCAAGAAATGCCGTCTCAGGTTTCTACTGCCTTTCCAATTGTCACTTATTTTTCGAGAAGGTGAAGGATGGGCTAGGACCTTCCACTGGACAAAAACCAGAAGAAAACATACCAAAAAATAAATAAAAGAGACGCACTGTCCACGGCCACATTCTCTCAGGTTCACGAGGCAAAATCGAAAGGCAAAATCGAAAAATACGGAAAAACTCGCTTATAAGCCCTTCTTGACCATTTACATGACAAAATAAGCCCTGGGGGTTGGATAAGCTCGGGGGTCAAGGGTAGGGCTAGTTCAGCTCGGGGCGAGCTGAATAAGCCCGCCTGACCATGTAAACGCGCGCTCTAAAATGACTGGGTGACAGATCAAGGCGGGCTTATCGTAAGCCTAGGGTTGAATAAGCCCGGGCTTATTTTTCTCATGTAAACGGCCCCTAACTGTGCTTCTACACACCAGATAGTGCCAGAAATCACTATAATACCACATGACGTCTATAGACATCATCTGCGCATGGAGGGGGGGGGGGGGCATTTCAATGACGTCTACAGACGTCATGAGTGTTCAATGGGTTAAGCAAGTGCATGCATAGGTTTGCTGCTTTTGTGCCAGTATAACGATTTTTGGTGCATTCCAAAGCTCTTAGCCCCCCCCCCCCCTCCCTCATACACGCATGTGCATATCACTGGATGTAATCTGGACAGAGCTAGCAGTTTTTTGACTTTATTAGGGTCTCCCGACTGTCCTCAGAGGAGCTCAGAACCACGGACGCAACCAATCGCAAGTACTGTGAGGAACAATGCATCTTTCTAAACTGGCTCACAGTATCAAATTCAGAATCTCCTAACTGTGAAAAGCACAGCGAGCGTTGCACGAGTGCCAGTAGCTTTGACGCTAACCAGAAGGAGGGCTAAAGCCAAGCCAGTGCGAGGGAGTGTAGTTCCTAATCTCCAGGCAGCTTGCTGTGTAGGCCTTGGTATGCCAATGGAGTTTCACACCTTTCTCACCTCTCTCTGCGTGCTCTTTCTACTCAACTCTGCTAGTTCTTAGCGTTTCACTCTCTTTCCGTTTTTCAACTTAAACGGTATGCTTTGCATCGTCTATGCTCCGGTGTTCCTTGTGTGAGTGGGGACTGGGTTTGGTTGGCATGTCGAGCTTAGTTGGTTGTGCTCCAAAACAACCACATGTCTCCTCAGTGGAGCATAGAGTCATTAGCGGCCAAGAACAGGACTCGATTGTTCTAACATTCCGACTTGTCATTTTCTCTTGTCTTATCTGGTGCATTGCAGAAGCTTGGTGTGGACAACCAACAATATCAAATGGGCAGGCAACTGTCACTTCTCGGATAGCCCGCTTCAATTGCAACAGTGGCTTTAGATTGGTTGGTATGCCATTCTCGGTGTGTGCCAATGGGACATGGATGTTCAAGAGAGCATGCATACGTGAGTCTGCTCGTCGTAGTCGCTGGAACGAAATCTCACCATTCATTCATTTAACTCATGCAGTGCCGGTGATATGTTCGCATGCCATGTATACTGTATGCTGTGTGCTATGTGGTGGAGCATGTCACATGAAACACTCTTCATCTAGCTGTAACTTTGAGGATTTTGGGCAGACCCTCGGACACTTTTCAATCAGGGGTAGCAGAGAACACATGCCTGTGGTCCAAAGAGAAGCACGCCGTATGCACTGCAAGAGCTTGCAAAGGCCTGCAATCACAGCATAAAAGGGAGTTCTAGCATCTAGGACAACGGCACGAGACATCAGGAGTCGGAACGATGTGTTTAGACGCCAGATTTAGAAGTTCTACATGATCCCTGCTCTATGCAGCTGGCAATCGCAATTTGGAATAGCCCGCTCTTGCCAGCAATTCTGCTAGCAAAATATCGAAGAAATTTGAAAGGGAATTTGCTGGCAAAACGTAGCTAAATATCGGTGTGTTCGCTGGAAATTGGGAGATTTTACACTTATACGTCGCACGTGACTCATTTTCGCACAGTTTTACCAACACGTGACTCACTTTTTTTTCATTTTTGCTAACACTTGACCCACTTTCGGTCAGTTTTCCCACACGTGACACAAATTTGGAGCAAAAAGGGAGCAAAATATCGAGTGGCCTGGCAATATGAAAGCAAAATCTCGACAATGAGCCCGAATTTTTTGCGGCAAAATATCGAAGCTTCACTGGCAAAAATCGGGCTTTGCCTAATCGCAATCATGGCCATTATGACCTGCTGACCTCCAACCCGGTGCAGTCCAGCTACGCCATACTGTAAGACATGTTATTATAACGAGTCGCAAATTTAACGATTGTCCAAAATTCATAGGTTAACGAGAAGATATGTTAACGATCTTGCAGTATTCTGCCATATCCACACACAGCATATATGAAGCAGTACGGCCTCAACGGATCTTATTATAACGAAGAAATGTCATCCGTTAAAACGTTAGATTTGCTTCCTCGTTATATATACATGTCTTACAGTATGTCGACATGCATAAATCGGGGCGGTCCTGAGGCTTAAGACTTGCCAGTGTAGTGGTCGTCCTTTTTATGCTAGGCCTCCCTGCTGTAAGTCAAGCGCATGCAACTTCAGAATATTATGCACAATAATAGTCATGTCGGCAAGGAAACAAGAATTCCCCCGCCCCCAAACATGTTTACGAACGTCCATAGCGATAACTATTAGCTGATTCTACGTCATGCAAAGCCAGAATTTCACAGTGTGCTTTCAACCAGGCTAGTGCAAATATCTACAAATATCTGCAAAATATCTGCAAATGTGTTTTTAATGTGTGTTTTTTCTTCATTCAGCTTTGAGAGCAGGTGAACTGCCAGGTCCCAAGATTTCAAGTGAGTTCAAATTTCTCTGTATTCAATTATTCTATTATTCTGTGACACATTGTGTGTTCTTTGACTTCTTGAAGTTGTTTTTAAAACCCTTTGCTGCCCATTAAAATGTATAGGTTTTCGGCATACCCAGACCAGCAGGAAGAAAATTACTCATAGCTCCAACACGAAGCATATTGTCAAATGTAAACCTATATATTTCTAAATAATCTACGTGGAGATAATAATTTTAATATAGCTATGAATAGGATGAAGGCCGCAGACATCACGCAACTACGTTACTTGTTTGACATGTATTACCGTGTATTCTGGAAGCAATGTATCCCAAGGAATCTAGCGAAATGAGCGTTAGCATGCTAACGCGAGTTAGCAGCCAGCCCAGCGAGCTGGCCCAACCTGCACGCATGCGCGAGTCACGTGGGCACGCGCCCTTCAATATCCTGTACAATGTCTCTTTCATGTCATTGCTGTTTGGACTTTCGAGCGTGCAACTTGCGGAACAGGTGTTCCCGAAACAATTTCCTTTCGTTAGACTTTCAAGCTTGCATTCTCGTATCTCTGCGTTTCAATTCAGACTTCATTGACGCCTGTTGGTGCCTGTTGGTGCCTGAAACAATGTCGTCGTCTACAGTGGAACGTCGACTGTGGTTTTTTTAGCTTGCGCCATCATCAGGTTTCCTGAAATGAAGTACCTCCACGCGATCTCAGCGACCCTTGTTTGTGCCTTGAAGCAATGTCGTCGTCACCAACCGGCGTCCAGCCTCTCCGGATCGCCTCGCTCTACCTGGCTCCGCCGCCCGCCTACTGCGAACGCAGCGACGGCCGCCACGCAGCACCACCACTGCAACAGCAGGCGCGAGCCTGACGATCGTAATTCGTATCCAGAGAGGCGAGTTCGTGGACTTTGATTTTCTGTTGGAAGTAACAACGGGAGTTGTCCACTGCCGTCACCAACGCCACCCAGCTTCTCCTCGCTCTACTTGGATCCGTATCGCCGCTCGCCGCCAGCAGGCCGGACCCTACTGGGAGCCCGGTGCAGTGACGACCGCCATATGCGCATGCAGCACCAACAGCAGGTGAACCTGACTGTCCTATACGGGCCCTTCTCGATCGCGTCCAGAGAGGCGAGTTCGTGGACTTCGATTTCCTGCTGCCCGATACAGTTGCAGTCAGTCCAGCTCCGGCGACGTTCCAACTCCGTAGCCCCTCATATGTTGCTCTTCTGGCGCACTAGCATTTATTTGAATCCGAACCCAGAACTGCGCTTCGTAGGCTGCATGACGGTAGCACTTGAGTTGAGACCTGGACAGTGTTCATGAATGGTCTGTGTTCCACTGTTCCTCACCGCGTTTCACGAGCGCCTGTGGACGTATTTGGCCACGATCGTCGCGGCCAATCGCCAGCTTTTGCCACCTAGAAACTGGACGTTATCAATACTCAATCTGCGGACAACTGTTTCGTCCTTTGTGGACTCATCAGCGCAGCACAGAGGGAATTAAGCCGAACCTGATAGCAATGGAAAATAAAATAAATCTCCAAAGCCAGGTTATCAATATCAACTTGTGGCAACTGCGCCTCGCGGTGTACTGGAACAGCACGACCCGCCTGCCAGCAGTGCAGCTCAGTGCACTCGCCAGCATTTCCGTGCGCATTTCGTCCTACTCACCAGTACAGATCCGCATCACGTACCGCAACCGTATGCCGCTACTACGAGTACGGCGCTTGCACGCGTCAGCTCAGGCAGTGCTACCTCCAGTGCCGACAGGAGCATCCCAGGGCAAAGTGTAAGGCCTCATCAGTAACTGTGTAAGCACTCAGTTTCTCACTTCTCAAAATTACTGGACTCACATCCTGATCCTATGCTCCGGAGGTATGTTGCACATGGTCGTAATTGTGGGGTTGTGGTAGGTTTCATCGGCAACCACTCAACTAACTGGGATCCATTGAATTTAACACGGTCACATGCTAACCCAGATTATATTTCTGCGCAACGATCCGTTTCTTGCAGCAGGCTTGAAACAGCTGGCCGATCCGTTTCTTGCAGCAGGCTTGAAACAGCTGGCCCGTGTTCTTCACCCCCTTTCTCGCCTCTGTGCTGTTCCGGCGTAGATGCGGTTCCTAGACGAACGGGAAGTTACACACGACACACCCTTTGTAAAGCCTGGAGGGTCGAAGTGTCAACGATTACATTCCAGCAGACCGTGTCTCTCCACAATGTCAAGATGACAATGCTGCAAACATGATTAGACAATTGCTCGCCCCGCTGTATCTTGCTAAGCTCAATGTTAAAAGTGCATTCTGCCGAATTCCCGTCTGCCCGGAGGAGTGGCCCTTGTTGAACCGCTGGCAGGATCAATACTGTTATGAGAGCGTCCTGCCCTTCAGACTGTACTACGCTCCAGGCCAGCTATATGGAACTCTGTCGCATCCGCCAGTGAATGGATTGTGTGCGGGCAGTTCGCACTCCCACGCCTGTTGCATTACGGGGAATACCTCAATTAATGTTACTTCCTCAATGCATGCTCTGGACTTGTGTTACCTCGCCAGCAACTCGCTATTCTGCTCCGAGCGTTTACATACCTCGGTGTTTCTCTGGCCCCAGCAAAAGTGGAGGGTCCAGCTCAATTCCTGACGTTATTGGCATCTTCCCCTTACGGGAAATACCTCGACTAACGTTTCTGTCTCCATGCATGCTCTGGACTTGTGTTAGCTCGCCAGCAACTCGCTACTCGGCGCCGTGCGTTTACATACCTCGGTGTGTCTCTGGCGTCAGCAAAAGTGCTTCCTCGATGTATGCTCTGGACCTGTGTTAGCTCGCCAGCAACTCGCTACTCGGCGCCGTGCGTTTACATACCTCGGTGTTTCTCTGGCATCAGCAAAAGTGGAGGGTCCAGCCCACGTCCTGACGTTTATCGGCGTCATCCTGGACACCCGCGCGCTCACATCAGTCTGCCGATGGACGAACTTGCCAAGCTTCACGACCTCCTACGGGCCACTCTCAACACAGCTTCAACTACCCAATGTCAACTCGAGTATCTTTTGGGAAAGCTCTCGTTTGCTACAAGAGTGATAGTCCCAGGACGCACATTGCAGATTGTGGTCACTTGCCAACTGGTACCGGCAGCCGTATTACCTGATCAAGCTCTCCGAAGAGTGCCTCAAATACCTTCGCTGATGGCCTTAGCTCCTGGAATAGTAGAACGGCCGGTCCTTCTTCCTACACCCTAAGTGGAAGCCGTCCCCCAACTTGCTGCTATTCACTGATGCAAGTGGTGCACTTGGCTGGTGCGCAAACAATTGCAACCGGGGATAGGGCAATGGACAGTCAATCAAGCAGACCAGCCAATCGCAAATAGTGGTTTGCAATTGTGGCAGCACCTGGAAAAGCTAGCGGCACCAGCAGCAGATGCCAATCGATCGGCTTTGCAGAAACTGCGAAAATCTTGCTCATCAGTTGTGGCTATGGCCTGGCGTCATACACCGGCCACTCGTTTCGAATCAGCTGCCGGACTCGATATTCAGAGAGGCGGGAAGGTGGAAAGCCATGTCTGCCCGAGTAACATTCAGAGGCCACCAGCAGCCAAAGCATGGGTGGCTGTGGCAATGGCCTCAGCCCATGATATCGAGTTCCTGTTAGTCAATCGTTACCGAGCTTGCACTGCTTACAAATATCACAGGTAGCTGCACTTTGTGATCCGCTCTGGGAGTGCCGATTTATGGAATATATGCTCTCAACTGGTTATGCATCTCTATATATCTAGCATTTGGCGGCTCTATTCAGAGTCATTGGCGGCTCCATGCGGAGGCATTGGCGGCTCCATGCGGAGTCATTCGGCGGCTCCATGCGGAGTAATTGGCAGCTCCATGCGGAGTAATTCGGCGGCTCCATGCGGAGTCATTCGCTGGCTCCATGCGGAGTCAATTGCCGGCTCCATGCGGAGTCATTCGCCGGCTCCATGCGGAGTCATTCGCCGGCTCCATGCGGAGTCATTTGCCGGCTCCATGCGGAGTCATTCGCCTGCTCCATGCGGAGTCATTTGCCGGCTCCATGCGGAGTCATTTGCCGGCTCCATGCGGAGTCATTTGCCGGCTCCATGCGGAGTCATTCGCCTGCTCCAAGCGGAGTCATTTGCTGGCTCAGCTGCGAGCCATTATACCAGTTGCTCGAATCGGCACTCCCAGCTTAATGCAAAACTCGGTTGCTCTGTTGTGAGGTGGGGGATGCTAAATGAGCGTTAGCATGCTAACGCGAGTTAGCATGCTAACGCGAGTTAGCAGCCAGCCCAGCGAGCTGGCCCAACCTGCACGCATGCGCGAGTCACGTGGGCACGCGCCCTTCAATATCCTGTACAATGTCTCTTTCATGTCATTGCTGTTTGGACTTTCGAGCGTGCAACTTGCGGAACAGGTGTTCCCGAAACAATTTCCTTCCCACCCTCCCACCCACTAGCTCAACTCATGTTTCTGGCGCACACATGACGGTATCTGTATAGTCCATGAGAATATATGCTCTCAACTGGTTATGCATCTCTATATATCTAGCATTTGGCGGCTCTATTCAGAGTCATTGGCGGCTCCATGCGGAGGCATTGGCGGCTCCATGCGGAGTCATTCGGCGGCTCCATGCGGAGTAATTGGCAGCTCCATGCGGAGTAAATCGGCGGCTCCATGCGGAGTCATTCGCCGGCTCCATGCGGAGTCAATTGCCGGCTCCATGCAGAGTCATTCGCCGGCTCCATGCGGAGTCATTCGCCGGCTCCATGCGGAGTCATTTGCCGGCTCCATGCGGAGTCATTCGCCTGCTCCATGCGGAGTCATTTGCCGGCTCCATGCGGAGTCATTTGCCGGCTCCATGCGGAGTCATTTGCCGGCTCCATGCGGAGTCATTCGCCTGCTCCAAGCGGAGTCATTTGCTGGCTCAGCTGCGAGCCATTATACCAGTTGCTCGAATCGGCACTCCCAGCTTAATGCAAAACTCGGTTGCTCTGTTGTGAGGTGGGGGGATGCTAACTCAATTTGATCGACATGTCGCTTTTTCAATGCTCTGTCGAACTGATAGACGTATGTCAGTTCAAGTACTGTATAGCAGGACATTTTCGGTCGGAAATATGCTCGGACAAAGCCGAATTTCGACCTTTCGGACGGATTTTACTTTCGTACACTGCTGCACGCTAAATGCACGTGTTCGCATGCGGTACCGATGTATAGTGTACATAACTTCACAGGAACACATTTTAGTACGGAATTCATTTTAGTACAAAAGAGGGCGTGTACGAAATCGTCCGAAAATAATTTCCGTCCGAAAATTTCCTGCTATACAGTATGCGTGGGCAGCAAAGAGTTAAAAGTTCATTGTCGCTGTTAGCCACATTACGAAAAGTCATCCCCACGTGGATAGCGTAACGGTGTGCTGCAAACTGCCAAAGAAAGCTTGTGAGAGGCAGCAATAATAGATCCGCAAGTCCCTAACACTTAGGTATATTTTCTATGCGCCTTTTGCTGTGCACAGTAAGTGTGTGTGTGTGGGGGGGGGGGGGCGGGGTCTTGCTTATACATCTTTTCCTTCTACTTAGAAATTTCATTGTTTCGCCACTTCTGTGAGCACAAACGCTGAAAAGCACACTCGAGACAGAATTAAATTTCAGTTTGCACCATATTATAGTGTAGTGTAGTGTATTGTAGTGTAGTGTGGTGTGGTGCGGTGCGGTGCGGTGCGGTGCGGTGCGGTGGGGTGCGGTGCGGTGCGGTGCGGTGCAGTGCAGTGCAGTGCAGTGTAGTGCACTATAGAATAATAATTTTAAATATTTTCCCATTTATTTAGGCACAGCTCAACTATAGTAGGACAGTGTACAAACTGCTTTTTAACCCTTTGAGGACTACCCCAAACCACCAGGATTCCTACCATTTTCAGGCGAAAAATCGGTATTTGCAAAAATTGATCTAGTGTCATAAAATTTGGTTCTAAACAGACATAGACGTCAGTAGGCAACAAAAACCAAAGTTTCTACGTCATACATTCATTATAGAGGTCAGACTGGTCAATTCAAAATAGGTGTATGTTGCGATTTTCTCCAAAAATGGGGCTGATTTTCAAAAATTGATATAGTGTCCTAAAGTTTGATTCTAAAGAGACATTGACATCAGTGGGCAACAAAAACCAAAAAATCTAACATCTTATACCCAATTTCGAGGTCAGAATGGTCGTCATTACCACCAGTGTGGTCAACAACACCTTGAGTATCAGTATCTGCAAACTTGTCATTACAATTTCAAATGCGTCAGCGGTATCGACACGAATTTAGCCAACATCGACCTCGCTGTCACTCTCAGAAAAGTTAAGAGGATCACACTGTTCATCCTCACTATCGCTGCTCATAAAGATAATGCCGAGGGCTTCAGACAAGGAGACACTTGACAGGTTACTTGCCATCGGCACTCTCAACAAAGTACTTCCTCCGCGTCATTAAAATTGTCGCTTCCCAGAGCGATTTTTCGAATTTATTTTTTCCACTCGAAGGGCAAAGAAATCAGCTAGAAATTGAGGCAGAGCATTGTCGACAGACCAAGCTTTAGTTTGTGGCCCCGGGCTTCGCTGCCCTTGCAGCTAAGGTCGACGTCTTCATCAGAGTTTGAGGCAGACCCTTCAGTATTCAACAATACGCTGAACGACCCAACCCAACCAACAAACTATAGACCCATTTCTCTCTTCAGCACTGCATCAAAAATCCAAGAAAAAATTGCACATCAACTCCTCTACAAGCACATCACACCCCACCTGCCCAACCAACAGTCCGGATTCCGTGAGAAAGACGGCACTGAGCAGCAGCTCGCCCGTCTCGTCCATACCCTCTCCACTGCGAGAGACGACGTGAAACACGTTAATGCCTGCTTTTTTGATCTAAGCAAGGCCTTCGATCGTGTGTGGCATTCAGGCCTTCTAGCAAAACTCTCCCACTATGGTGTCCAGGGGAACGCCCTGGAGTGGTTCCGACGGTACCTGTTGGGGCGTGGGCAAAGGGTCCAGGTGGATGGCGACCTATCGCCTTTCCTCGAGATCCCTGCCGGCGTTCCTCAGGGATCTGTTCTTTGGCCGCTTCTATTCCTCGTCTACACCATAGACCTTTCACACGCATGTGAGAATCCCGGCACCACCTGTAGCCAATTTGCAGATGACACCGCTCTGATTTCCATAGCGAGAACTCTTCAAGACTGCATCCGAAACCTACAACAGAGTGTCACAGCAGCTGGAGACTGGCTTCAAAGATGCCACCTGCTGGTTAACACAAAGAAAACAGTCATCCTCCTGTTCTACCACAATAACCGCCTCCCTGAACAGCTACCCCAGATCACCCTCAGGTATAGTCCGCTTACCGTAGCACAAAAACACAAACACCTCGGAATAATCTTTCAGCATGACCTCCGTTGGACGGAGCACGTTGAATACATAGTCAAAAAATCACTCAAGTCTTTCAATATTCTTTTTAGACTAAGGTCTACACTCACCAGTGATTCTTTATCTCACATCTATCAGACATACATACTACCTATATTCTCATATGCGAGCAATGCTCTCACACCGTTGTCACACGCTTCCCTTTACAGGCTAGAACGACTCCAGCGGAAAGTCGCCAGAGTATGTCTCCACCTTCCCCTTTACACACACTTAGAACACTCCCACCTTTTGCATCGCATCAAATGGCCAACATTATTTTCATGTAGGTAAACAGTTTCCTCTGAGACAAAAATGCGATAATACTCATAAAAAGGACACACTTCAGGCTTATTACAAACATCTTGAAAGTTTTTGTCTTCACAAGTATACTTTCAAGCCTTCTCATCAGGTGAAATACAGGCAAGGGAAAAGGAACAGGAACAGTGGATTAAATACAGTAAGAAGGTGGTAAAACAGCGCAAAAAGAAAGAAAGAAAGAAAGAAGATAGCTAAAGTAAACAGCGAAAATTGCAATAATGACACAAAGACTTTCAAGATGTTTGTAATGAGCCTGAAGTGTGTCCTTTTTATGAGTAATATTTTCATGCTTTAAAGTTAAACATATACTCTTTGCGCATTCTCTGCGCAACAATTATGCCCCACCACATATACTCTCGCTGCATACTGCTAGCAACGTGCAACCTTCGTATAATTTACGTCGCTCTCATACTTGACACTTCCCAACTCCGCAGACTGACCGCTGTCTCCATTCTCCCCTGTACAAGGCCCTTCATTACTTTTATTGCTTGCCCATCCATCTTCGCGAAATCCCTTCTCGTACTCCCTTCAAATCCGAGATATCCCTGCTGTAGCACAACTCTGTATGCTCGTGTAGCGACCACCCCTGCCCGTAACTTAAGTACACAACTCTGTATGCTCGTGTGGCGACCACCCCTGCCCGTACACGTATGTAGTCATTAACCCCTAGGCCCTGCCCACCCAATTCTTCCTCACTCTTTCTTCTTTCTTACACTATTATCTCATATTGGCCACTGGCTATCGGGAGAATAAAGATTTGAAACAAGACGCGCGGTCCAATTCAGGTCAAGAAACTTCGTTTTCAAGCGATCCATGCCTCCAGGTGGCCGGCGAAGAAGGCAAGCAAGCATTTTTCAAGTACACTGTAGCGACCTTCCAACGGGATAGGGTAAGCAGTTTCGCACCTTCTTTCCTTGGCAAGCGCTTCGCTGATTTTGTTGGTGTTTTCAGACCTGCTACCTTCGCAGCAACATGCGCCACAAGTAGCACATTTTTAGGAATTTGAGACCGCTTTGTTCTTGCCATCGTCAACTTCAGCATTTCGTATTCAGGAGAGATACCAGGATTCTTATACCCGAGCTTGCAGTCTTGATAAATGCCCCCGCAAACGATGTGGGACGGCACGAACTCCAGAAAACGAAATGCGCTCTGGGGCGGAATAGTGCGGAGCGTGATGAATTTGCTTGGTGCGGAAGAGAGCTCCGACAACGTCCGAGACCACCACGGCTTCAGTGACAAGTAGACATTGCGCAGGAAGGGTCGCACCAGTGTTCGAACACAAAAAAAAACAGCGATTCCGACAGTCTGACTAAGACGAGCCGAGTCTCAAATATTGCGATGTGCGAAGCGACAATTTTAATGACGCGCAGGAAGTAACAAGTTAGTTTGAAATTCCAAATAACTTCTCGATCGGCGCATTCTCTGAGTATACTCAAATGTGGCCGGTTCTCAACGGGACCAACGCGGATCGACTGCGACAAGTCTCACCTTGACGAAGAATCAGATCGTACTTGTCGGAGTAACATATGAGCGACTTCAAGCACCTAAAAATATATCGATATCGCAATTTTCTCAAAAACGGATATACTCATCTCTAGGAATCCAGCCATACCGTAAAAATCGGATATAATCGTCCTTTGCCCTCAAAGGGTTAAAACATAAATGTAGAGTTGGATATTCGCTGTCCATGATTTGTCAATATTAGCTTATTGGGACGTCATTCACTGATTGCGATATCTATACCAAAATGTACGATTTACATCTTTTGTGTATTGGTACCCTATTTTCCGGAGTATAGTGCGCACCTTTGTATAACGCGCACCCTCAATCTTCATTGAGGGTGCGCACTTCAATCTTCATTGAAGTACATGCATTTCATATTCAGAGCATAGTGCGCACCTGAGATTTAGTGCCTAAAATAGCACATCTAAAGTGCGCACTATACTCCGGAAAATACGGTAGTGGGTTATTGTGGAAGACAGGTTGTTCCTGAAGGTTTGCCTCTATTCAAGAGGGAAAACATAACTTTTCACTACGGTTTCTAATGCTATTTCATTTCATAACCATGTTGTGGCAATTTGTCTATTTTTTGTTCACAGTTCACCTATATCCGTCAGCTGTCCGTAAGTTCATCATGGCGTCACGTTTTCAATTCTTTCAAACTCCCCAGAAGTAGCCCTAAGGGAGGTGTTCACAGCTCCGAATCTCTGCAGTGTTGTACATCCATGGTTTAGGTTTTGTTAGTATCCTGATAATCTCCGGTCGCATTACTCAGTCAGCATGTATGCATGCAATCGTCTCTCCTCCTCTTCTTTTCCATGCACCCTCAGCGGGCACTTTGAGACCCTTGGTAGCCATTACAATGATTCCAAACAACAAAGGAGCTCAAAGGATCAGTCGGGGGAGTGAACTGTTTGCGTGGAACGTGTTGTGAGCTGCTGCCTTTGGACTGAAGAACTTGTCAGCGCCTTCTAGGTTCGGCCTGGCCCCATGGCTCAGGTGATTAGAGCATTGCTCCTGACAAGCAAGGTCCCGGTTCTGAGTCCTGGAGGGTCTGGGTTTTTTCTTGTTTCGGGCAGTTCACCTCCCTGAGTGATCCTTTGAATTTGAAGTTCTTCCAATCCTGTAAAGACAAATGAGTTGCAGGTACTTGGTACTCATTTTATTCACCCATGTGCTTTTTTCATCTTAAAACCATCAAGGCCAATAATACAGTACGCATATTGCCCATCTGAAAAATCGAATGGGGGTGGTGTATCTAGCAGCAACTTTGAGCCAGTGCATTCTGTCTGAGGCAGTTGCTCTCGCTTGCGAAAGGGACATGTTGAGAAGTAAAAGAACATCCCTGATGGTGTGTATTCATTACTCTACAGTCTTCACTGAAAATACTGCTTGTGAACTACTTACCTTAACTGTATAGTGCAGAGCGGATGAGCATCAGATGTGCATCAGGGGTCGATTCACATGGCTTCCTCGTGTACTTGGATAGAGTGATCATCTTGCGCAAGTCTCTTTCACTTTCCATCTGATTTTGTTGTTGCTAAATGAGAGGATACATTGGGTGTATCCAGGCTATCCTGCAGATTTTCAGATTGGAAGACCTTGCAACGGCCGTACATTGTGTGTACCCACCATGCCCCAACTATGGCAAGAGGACGTGAGTATGTTCATCTGTTCTATGTGTGTTCACTGCT